CTGATCTCCCTCTTCCGGCTTTTCGATGCCGAATTCATTACAGCGTGGAACTCTTATACGGAACGTCAGACGGTTAAGCCGGCGAAACCCCCAGATCATGAGCAGCTGTGCCAGCTGCAGGGAGCCCTGTCAAACTGCCTCGCCGATGTGTCCGCCTACCCCGAGTCGCAGCAAGCCGAGCTTTTCGTCACATGCGGGTGGCTTAAGACTGTTGTGTGGCAGCTGTGCTTGTCAGCGACGACGCTGACGAGCACGAATTATTGCGATAGTATGTCGCTAGGCTATCCCTTAAGCATAGCCCGAGACATTGTCCTTGTCCTCCAACTCTCACCCCAGAGGACCTTTGCTACAAACAGGGTTAGCATGTTGGAGGAAGTTGTCCAGGTTGGAAGTTCACTAGCAGATGTGCTTTCATTGAACGCACCTTACTGTTCTCCGGCCATTGACGCTTGATGCTTCTATGGACACTCTGATGGAGATTTTGAAGATCGCGAGCGAGATGCTCCGAGCCAGTTGTGAGTCCCCCACCCCCGAAACAAGCTCAGTTAAAGAGTTATACTAGAGAAGGATAAGTATTAAAAGATGGTTGTCGTCCAGGTTAAGAGGCGTTTCGATAGGGACATCAGAAGTGTTCTTGTAAGGCATGCTTCTGAAATTAGCATCCCTATCTTTACCCTATCTTTAGAACTTCGTGTACCTAGCTTGCTCACCTCTTCCTTCTACTAAGCGCTCGCTGCCCCCTCATTGTCGTTCCATTCCTAGTGGGTGGGTCGTTGAAAGGTTCAGGGCGCACCGCAAACCTAGCTTAGAATGGGGGCGCAACGTGCGGATGGATAGATCCAAGTGTGGAGTAAGGTTTGGGATGCTTGGAGACTAACCGGCGCGGAACTACTTCATGGCAGGCTAGCGACTGTGTCCGTGACTGCCGGCGGCAAGTACTACACATGGGCTACACTTCACTCGCGTTACTTTGCCTTCTAATAGGTGGGCATAATATAATGAGTGGGAGTTACATGCCCGTCTTAATATGTCGCTGGTCACCACTGGGTGGACACTGTTTAGTCTCCTTTTTGCTGTGGGTATCACATAAAGTTAGCTATCATCATGGTGGAGAGTGCAGGGGACGGACGTGCCTGCCTACTAGGGCGCTATGCTGTCCGCTTGCAAGTGCAGATGCCCCTGAGGTGAACTCTAGGTCTAGAGTTCGTCCTAGACTTTAAGACAGGATCCGAACTGGATCGATGTAACTGAGTATTACACTAATAAAGATTGTCCTAAGATGGTCTAAGGGACTAAGGCGGGAAAGGCATACCGACATAGATGTATGTGCTGATTTTTGCTACGGACGCGAGCCTATAGATGATGAACTAATTTAATCGTATGCGGTAGTACGGCATCTCTTTAGATGGCTTGTTTTGTGACTAGCTGTGTGTTGTTTGTCTATGTATACTTAAGTAGGTATGTATGTGAGCTGGAGGGCGGGAAATGCCCGATAACGACCCACGCTTAGCGCTCCATCCTGGGCAGGCTGGGTCAGTTTCCTCACCAAATCAACCTATTACTCTCCTCTGCACAGAAACTCGCCGCTCAACGCATCGAATTCCGCCTAAAGGGCCTTGGGAATGCCGCCCTGGGCGCTATCCTACGTGGCGTTAAAGGCTTGGCGGACCCAGGGCGGTGCGGGAGCATCGACACTGTAGTAGGAGTTGCAGTGTACCTAGGTCGGTGTGAACACAACACCCCTCAAACTAGAGAACTTACAGTAGCAGAAGCCAGATACAGTTGTATGCCTCAGTATGTGACCGTTATGCTAGACTCTAGTAGTAACTCGCCTTACTTTTGTAGTAAAGCCCGTGGGGAGGGAACGGTGTCTACGCCGGATGCTGATACAGAAGGAATGATGGTGATGATAGGTGTGGCGTGTGTTATGGTCCATGGAGGGACGAGATGGTAAAGTGTATAGGAGTTTGTCTTGTCTAGAATGAAGCATAGGTAAGGTGGCTGGAGGTTCTATTTAGGGTTTATCTCAGAGGGTGCAGTTCAGGAGGTAGGTTGATAGCTGCATGTGAGCACCTGTCGCTGAGGAACAGGTTTAACATGGATCGGAATGTTGGATTCGTGTATGTATGACAATGACTGTTCGTATGTACGTCAAGATTGATTGCGACACCATGATATACGCATCTCCCTACTGTATGGTATGATGTTGGCACTGAACCCTCTACCGAGAGGGCTCTGGACCCACAGAATGTTGACTGCTATAGGGCGGCAGACGTGAGACTAGAACGACGAGGATGCGTGGCGTAGCTGTAGATCATAACACGTTGAACAAAGAACGGGTTCACTTATGGAACAATCCGGCGTCTGAGAGGGCCTATCGTCGAGGATGCTCTTCAGCGGATGAGATTGGGCGGGAGGGAGTTCTGTTGATTGTTCGGGGTAGGAGTGGTCACTTTCGTATTTGCAGGCACCACCTCGCAGCTCAAGCAATTTCCAGGAGAGTGGGACGGATGACAGGCGCAGTAGAATGCTGGGAACAGCTGCGCCCCCTACCCTTGTCCTAGGTATCTCAGATTGAGACGGTTGTGTGTGTAAGGGTCTAGGACAAGGTCGGTGCCATTGGTCTAGCCTACTACTACGAGCATTCCAAGCTGGAGGAAAGAAGAACCATTCTGGGAAAGAGTGGTGCCCTTCTCATCTTTAAATACATGTGAGTCTTCTTCCAGAAGCTTCCATTGAGTAAGGGCCGACAAGGTTCTCATAACCTTCCACGATATTCTGTAACCTTCCAAAGTATTCCATAGCTGAGGGTCTAGCCGAAGCTTCATATCGGTCCATAGACCGTGACAGTGTGAAGCCTGTTGTGGAAGGATGGTGGGATCGGCCCGCCCTGCTATGATCTGCACCTTCCTTCCGATGCAAAAGGGTGAATATATAACGCAGTAAGGCCGGGTCTCGTCGTCCCAACGACATTACAAACACTGGAATAGAAAACACGGAGCAGGGCTACCTAAGACCTAAGGCTGTCTTCAGGCCTAGCGATGATTCTTGCCACCTGCCTTGTGCACTGGCTCACTGAGCTAGGCTGCAGGGCTTAGGGCGGTCCAAAATACCGAAACGGATTGAATTTGTGACTAAAGTTTAGAATCATCATATAGGCTCAAGCCAAGGAATAATTCATTCTGTTGTTAGTATGAGTAAGGAATCATCAAAATGTTTCCAACGCTGCTGCTGAGCACTAGCACGACGCGAGAGTACCCACGCTCGACTGAAGAACGCTGTCTGCAGTCGTTACAGTAGATTAAAGCAAACCTGGATAGTATCTGGATCATTTGTCTCAACGAAGCCGACTTTGAAATAGTCAGCGATAACGTGAAGAAGAGCCTCTGTTCTGAAACATGAGTGCTAGTATGCAGCGAGCTCTACCCCATAAACGTTGATGAATGAGTCGGACTGAGGTACTTGATGACAATGAAAACACTAGGGCCGAAACGATGGCGAAGTAACAGTCAGTAAAGTTCACGTCCGCTGGACAGCTGGCCATCTATCCGGCGACAGATGAGCGCATAATAGTTCCCGAATTTATAGCTAAGTGGATGCGGTGGGCTGTACGCCGCTTGCCTCTATGCTGTGCTACCTACTACTTATCCCTGATATCTCTATCGCGCGGCTCGACCTGCCGCCCTTCCTACGTCTAAGAACCTAGCTGGCAAGGATTTCAATCGAAGAGCTTTGAGAAGCTCTGAGTTACAGGGCGTGGATTTCGGCTGCTGATGATATGACCTAGTGCGACCCAGATCGCCGCCAAATCGGTCTTTTTACGACTGGCTTGCTGCTCCGCGCTTCTCCTGACCACTGATGATCGAGAATATGTTGTCTACTGGCTTGGTAGATGTTCTGCGGAGCATCAATGAACCCGTAGGGATACTCGCGTACCTCGGCGCGGACCCTCATTGAGGGTGGGCCGCGAGCGAGCGTGGGGAACGACGCTGATTTGTTTATGCGTGAACGTTGGGAACGGCCGTGGCAATCTTATGTCGACTTTCTTGCCGGGCTTCCGTGGCACAGTGATCCCTTCGTCCGCCATGAACTGCCTGCACCCCCACGTTAGGAAACCCTCCTGGTTGATGACTTCACCGCCACGCAGGGGTTTTGAGCTGTTCAATAAGCCGGTCAGCACGACGTAACCCATGTAACATACACTGGCAGGACAGGCACGAACTCACGGCCTACAACGCCTGTCTGGCCCCCTTTGCCGTAGGCTACAACGCGAATGGAGCGCGGGTGATTGTGGGCTCGTTGGGAGGCATCGCTGTCCAAATGGTACTCGGGAGGCGTTAGACGAAGGCGTCGGTAATTGGCGCCATAATCCAGGGGAAGGACCTGGTAGCAGAAGGAGCAGGACTTACCTGGTGGAGAGCGAAAATCTCCGCACAGCCGGCCTCAGTTCGATGCTTCTTGTTTACTGGGACCTTCTTTTGGCTCTGTAGTCTGGCTTGGCATCGGTCAAGGGCAGCGACGACTCGTGGTTTGGAATGCTGGGGGGCGAGACTGTACAGAGAAGGGCCGCTTCCCTTCAAACTGGACGAGATAAATACGTCCTTCTCGACGGCCATAACGGCCATCATAGCGGGCTGCTCCTGTGGCCTGACGCGATCAGCATCAAACTTGGTCTGCATTTGGATATAAGCCAAGTGAGCAAGCTCATAGAGTTGGTCATCGTTGAAGAGTGTTATAGTGTCTTGGGTGAAGGTGAGCTTAGAGGAGTAAACCATTTGTTGTGCTTTGTCTCGGGCATTTGTGTCAAGGTTCAGGCTGAGATCCTGAGCTACAATACTTCGGAGGAGAGCGAAGAGCACAAGGATGCCGGACAGCCTAACCGCCCAGCCCCGAGATGCAGGAGTCCACATTTCGAAAGACGACTAGTAGTAGACAGCAGTTGAAGAAACCCGCCGTGTAGCTTGCTGGGGAGCGGACGGTTTAGCAATACGTCAGTGGACAGCAGAAGGGAAGCCGTGCGCAATAAGTACCTATGTCCGGTCGAAGAGGCTGGAAACCTCTCGGTAGCTATTCCCGAGACAACGAGAGGATCCCGCGCGGCAGAGCCGAGAGGGCTACCGTAATTACGCGGTAGCATAAAGATGGGTCCCACCCGTCCTCCGGCTCGAGCAGTCACTTGCTCTGTAGGGGTGGATACTAACAGCGATACGGCTTGACGGCCTGGGTGCTCAGGCCGCCTGGAGAATG